ATATATATATATATATCATTGTGAAATCTAAATTATTCTTATCTCGCCATGTTTTCAGATTTCACGTTGATTTTGTCTTCCTAGCCCGAGACTTAATTATCTCGCGTGTTTTACTTCCTATAATATACGCTTGGATGCGAAGGAAAGCCAAAAAAGGGCAACTAACGTATTCAACCGGTGAGAGACTTTTAAAACTTTCACGTCGTATCAGTTTCGAGCTTGAGAACTTCCGCGTACTTCATCCTCGTAGCTTAAATCGACTTTCCGCAATTTACAAAACAAGTTGCAAAGCAGTAACAGGTAAATAAGAGAAATATTCGAATACATTAAAAACTTCCCAACGGGCATTCATTCCAACTTAACTTCTGTCCCGTCGCACAAATTTCTCCGAGGGAAAGGCTATTTTATGCAGAAACAAGTGTCGGAAATAGAAGTCAAAGTCAACGCGGTCGTGTGCCATGGATTGTGACGTCTCGCGAGCTTCTAAATTCCTCGCGGAGAATTTTCCTCGGGCGGGTGGCAGCTTGGCTCGCGAAATTGCACGCCTAATCAATTTGTCGAGTGGCTCCGAACGGGAACGAAAAAGAGGAAGGAAGAGAGCGAAACCCGGAGGGTTAGAGAGGATGGGAGTGGCAGTCATGTGTGAGGTCATGCCGCATCGTCATGTGTTATAGAGATTAAAGTGGCACGAGAAAGTTTTCTGGCACTTCTGTAAAAAACGCTTCGACAATCATTCACCGCGGTCAGATTGTTAACGGCAACAACGGCGAACGATAGGGATTATTCGAATTTTATCGTCGCAAAATGATCCCCTATCTTTTTATCCCTTTCAATTCCCGTAATAGTAATTTTTCAACGTTAAAGAGTGTAAACGTGTTTCTAATTAATTTCACTGCGCGCAGACTGGTAATAAATGAAAGAAATTCTGGGTAGATCTTCCATAAAATCAATGGAGAGAGAGGGAAGCGTAGAAAGAAAAAAAGAGCAAGAAATAGGAGAAAAATAAAAAGATATCAATAATAAATGATCTCATCTACAAAAATACAAAGTCTGTAAATGTCAGCAAAAATCTGTTCTTTATTTTCTTAATAAATATAAAATTATAGTTGATATAAAAGTATAATGTATAATTCTTCAAAAAATATTTTTGTCACATTGAAAATAAACATCGCGAAAGTAAAATAATCCATCTCAATATTATTTTCTATTACGTAAGTTAGTTTGATTTTACCGATGTTCAAATTGGACAAATTCAGATAAATTTTGCGATCGAATGACACGATGTATTACTTGATAGAAAAAAAGGCAGGTTACTGTACCGAGGCATCGATTATCGATTGCTACTTAAGTAACAATGTTATCTTAATGCGCGTGTTATTTACGATTCACATGGGAGTGGTTTGTTCTCACGTGATAGTCCTGTGGAAAATGTTCAGCCATCAATTAATTTCCATGGTGCAGCAAGCTGCATTTCTGACGTCAGTGATGCCGAAAAGATGCACAGCTTAAAGTTACCCGAGCCGTGAAATTGAAATAAGAAAGAGATTACGGTAATTTTATATCTAGCGAGGAAGGATGCGATCGAAGCATAAACATCATTTCCACGGGATATATCTCAATTTCAGTAAAATGAGACGATTTTACTTTTGCGAATATCCAAATAAAACAGAAATATTTATTCAAAAGGAAAAAAAAGAGAAAATACATTATAATTAACAAAAACAAACAGAAATAACTAAAAAAGCTACTTTCTTGAAACTACAGTCAAGAGGAGTTGTTTGTTATGTTCACAATGCCTTTTACGCCAAGTCTTTGTTCAGCACGAAGTACATTGTGTTCACTTATGCAACAAATTTAAAAAGAAGTGCATACCTCATACATCAAAACATCAAGACATAAGAAAAAAAAATCTCTTTTATATTTCGCTGTGAATTAATAAGATAAGTCTTTAATTAAAATTGCTTATTTATTAAAAAACAGTGTAAAATGTAATTAACTAATTAACGGATAATTAAATAATTTAATTAAATTAATTAACGGATTCTCTCAATTTCTGTTACATAATTCTGTTTAGTACTTAACTAGTCGATCGGAATAACGACCCATGTAATCCCTTGTAGATCAACGCCGTGAACAGATTATTCCGTTCTCCGTCCATCGGCGATGATTTGATCCAATAACAAATCGCAATACATAATTACGTGCTATTAACATACCTTTTTGGTATCATGAATATAAACTGTGGAGGGACAAAAAGATCAGCCGCAAAATCGATCGTCGTGATCGGTAAGTCCTCCAGGAAAATCGCAATGCTCGTAATTTCTGTCACGTTTATTTGCGTTGCGTTTTCCTATGTGACAAATGTTACGTACTGAATGTTACATGTAATGCAATCATACGAGGTGTCTCACATACTACCACTACATTATTTTACATAATTTCCTAAGTTTTAATTAATTTTAACTAAGTTTAAAAAAAAATTCTTGCAAATCACATGTCTCTTCTTTTATAATAACTTTCTTCTATCTCTTTTTTTTATAATAATTTCCAATAAATGAAGAATATATTGAAGTTTACTTATAAAATTATGTGAAGATTAGTTTTCTTTCTATCTATTTAAATCCTCGAAAAATCTACTCGCAACGCTTCATTTATACATTTTTGGATGATTAAAAAAAATTTACATATCTCAAGTGAGATTCTCGTTAATAATAGATTAACTTCTAGATCCTGAGAATTCGAAGTGTCCGCCTCTCGAGGCCACCCTGTATATGTTTCGCATATGTAAACTAGCACATGTGTCTGGCAGGAACCGACTCACCGAAGCAACGCACGCAGGCACGCACGCACGTGCGCGTGCATGACGTTTACGTTTGTCTATAAAAAGAAGCCGTGTCATCGCTAACAACTGGTTAGCGATGACACGACACGGAATACTGCGCTACGTACACAGAAGGCGATTCAGATTCGATCGATCCGATCAACCGTTGGAAGAACGACGACGGTCTCGGATCGGTGATCCACAATCGTCGGCCGCGTCATCGATCTTTATTAGCTCACCCGAGATCCGTCGCCGGCACTCGATCGCGATCCAGATCATTGTTCCGCGACGAAAACGCAAGTAAGATAATCGCGAAAACGTCAGCTTTCATTTATGTAAATAACATACATCTCGAAACGTTGCTTCTCTGCGATATTCACGCCACTTAAACCGATGAGAAACTGGTAAAAAAATTATTAAAAAATGTTTTTTAAATGAAACTTACATTACGATTCAGCAAAACTGTGAAAAGAATGTAACTTTTGTTTAATTTATGTAAATAAAATGATGTAAATAAAATGGCAATATAATTATTTTTAATTATCGATAATCACGTCGGAATAGTAATACGTCAGAGTAAATATAAAATTTATATGTAAAATAAAAATAAGACGACTATTTTTGGAAGTAAGCGAGACGACAAAGACGAGGAAAAAAATCGATCGAGAAAA